GGCCGAGCAACTTCATTCGCCAGCTCCTTGAACATTGAAGTTGTGAGTTACATCTCCTGCAGGTGTTTTCTTGAATGTGTTGCAATAAAGACTTGATGCCATAAATTTATCAATAAAATTCCTATTTTAACTTTTTTCTTATCCTTGAACTAAAAATGTTATGAAAACAAAATAGAGGCATTAAATACATAAACAGCACTTGTAACTTGATTGTAAAAGTTAGATTAGAAATTGATTCAGTTCCTGATCTTCACTGAAGCAAAATAAAGAAAATTAAGATTTGTATAAATGTGCCTGAAAGTAGAGCAGGTTGGAAGTGAGGTATCACAGGAGCTGCGTGAATAATGCAATGCAAATGCTTCAGCTGCCTTCAATACATAAATTAAGATTAGACTGGTCTTGCACTCTGAAATATGTTCCAGATGGGATTAACTAGTCCTACTAAAATTTTCAAGGCTTTTAAAGTAAGGTAATAAAAAAAAAAGAATAAGGTGAGTTAGTAATCTAATCTAAGTTAGTAATCTAATCATACCAAGTTTGAGTTTCTGGTTTTGGTGTTTTTTTGGTGGTGGTTTTTTTGTTTTGTTTGTTTGTTTCTGAAATGCTTGCTCTATTAGCTTTTTAATTTTTGGTTTGTGAGAGTCTTTATGATCAGTTATTAATAATGTGCCAGACTATGGTATTATTACTCAGGAATTTTTCAAAAAACCCAAAAGGGGGTACGTGTGTGTAAAAATTCCCCCCATAAATCAAAATACATATTCTTTTTCCTTAAATTTGCATTTCTAACTTTTTTTTTTTTATTGTTACAAATTGAAAAACTTGTCTTTATTATTTACAAATTCAGAAAACCTCAGATACATACTGAGGACAGTTATGTGGATGAACCACAGTCTTTAAATTTGTAAACATTAGCTGTCATTTATTAATGATACACATTTTTTCAGTGGTGTATTCAAAACCAGTGGAAATCTAATAGAAGAGCACTTACTCTCCTCTACAAGCATTCAGTCTGGAACGCTGAGGTGAGAGGGAGGCAGCTGATCAGAATAAAGACTGTTTCGTATGTAATTTCTGTGTCATCACACTGTCTTGGCACTGAGACATAAACCTGTATTCAGTTAGTAGCGGTTTGGAACTTTTTTTCTTTAGCTGATCCTGGTCTTATGTTGGAGCAGCTGACGATCTCTTATCAAGGAAAGATCAGGGTACTCTTACTGAGGCAGTGCTTTTATCTGATGACTTTTTTTCCCCATACCAAGGCGAGTTTAGAGTGCTACATTTTTCTTGACAGCATGGTAAAGAGCAGGTGACTCTTAGGGATAATGATTCTTGATGATAATGGCTGCTGCTTTATTGGAATTGGAATTGCATTTGATTGAGAGATTGCTGGAGATTTAGTGGTTTTTACTTCCTTGCACATGTTAGTTTCATGCTAGTTTCTATCTGTTTGCTCTAAGTGTAGCTGTTAAATACATGAAGAAAATGATTTACAGTGGGTCTGTAGATGGGAATTTACCTCTGCTCTCTGATTCAGAGGTATGTGATCCCATTAGTGGGTCACATGGTTTTCTAAGGAAAGAAATGGAAAACTGTAAATACAGGGAGTATGTTTTATATTTATGATATGTATGCAGTGTGAAGTCTTCACCTTTTCAATGAAAACTATTATTTTACCCGTTTTGTTTGATTTTGTGAGTGTTAATTACCACATAATTATTATTAAAATTTCAAATCAATTTACACTGGGTTTTTTCCCTTCATGTCCTTTCTGATTTTTACTGCATTCACTTGCTTTGGGAAATTTAGAAGTACATCAATGCTGGTTTTGTTTTGTTTATCATATACAATGGTTTTTGGTTTTTTTTGTTTTTTTTTTTTTCTTTTCCCAACTGTTCCATGTTGGTGAGCAGTATATTAGGCAGTATTATGTGCAGTTATGATTTTATATGCACTTCAAATAATTTTTTATTTCCCAACCCCAGGAATTCTAGAGGTTTTACACTGTGTGTTGGTGGAAAGCCCAGAAGCTCTAAACATTATTAAAGAAGGACATATTAAATCAATCATTTGTCTTTTGGACAAACATGGAAGAAACCATAAGGTAGGCAAAGAGACAAGTATACTTTGGTGAACATTTGTGAACAAAGCAAGCAGGTTGTTCTGTGTAGAAGTTAGTTAGATTTAAAATACTTTAATTAAGTATTCATAATTAGGAATGAAACTTTTCCTAAAAGGCATATGAGCAGTTTGAGGAAGCAAAGGGGAATGTTATCTTCTTTAATAACAACATCAATGAACACTAATTTAAACACTAATTCTCAAGGGAGGCAGAAAGAATATGTCTTAATATTGTTAGAAGACTTTTCAGAATTGTTGTAAATAAAACTACTATGTTGGATGAATTACATACATGCTTGTCTTCTGGTAACAAGTTATATAGCATTATATTGCCTGAAGTAACTCACAGTGATTATGAAAAAATATTATGAAAAAAAAATCTAAGATTTTATTTATTTATTTATTTATTTATTTTTTCCCACCAGGTTTTGGATGTTCTATGTTCCCTCTGTGTTTGTCATGGAGTAGCTGTGCGGTCTAATCAACACCTAATCTGTGATAATCTCCTGCCAGGAAGAGACCTGCTCTTACAGACGCGCCTTGTGAACCATGTGGGCAGGTAAAAAGACAACTCATATACTTCTAGAAGGAAAGTGTATTGTTCTTATGTGATAAATCAAGTTATTTTATAAGCAATCAGTTCGATAAAATCTGCTTTTATACTGGCTTTTATT